TCTTAACCACTCGTTTGTAGATAAGATTTATAAATTAGAATCATATAAAAAAAAAGTGTTTTATGGCAAAACACAACTGTTACGCAAAGTCTTTTCTCCACTATACGTTTCGACTTGATCAAATAAAAATACTTAAAATATGAAAATCAATTGTATCAATAAATATCAACAACTGCTTTATGACCGACACACCAATACCAGGATAATTTCGATTACGTTTCCGATGATGCACAGACAGTCAATGTTATCGGAATTTTTTGACAAAGTACTGACAAATTTGTTAGAAAATCCCGATGACAAAATAAAATTCTCGGAAATGGTTTTGTGTTCTGACAAAGTTCCGATAATCCATTCCGTTAACGTTCCGACAAATATTGTTCATCGGGATTTTTTGACAAAATATCGATAAATTTGTTAGAATACTCCGACAAAATAAATTTATCGGCAATGAATTGGTGTTTTGACAAGTTTCCGAGAATCCATTCTGTTAACGGTCCGACAAATATAGTTCGTCGGAATATTTTGAGAAGTTTCCGACAAAGTCCATTGTTTCTCGGTAGTTCCTCGGAACGGCAAAGCAAATTCACCGATGACTCATGTTCTCGGAAACAATCCTCGGAGTTGACACTCTTTTCTTGTAGTGTCAGATCATTGGTTCAATCAGACAAATCGATGATTTAGAGAAACCAGAGACTGAATCCGGTTTGATTTTCTAAATAAGATACCGGTTTACGAAACGCTAAAGCAATAAGAGGAACTGTGTGGAAACTCAACCAGTTTTGTACTCTCTCTCTATCTCCCGGTGATTTTAGGGTTTTCCAATGTCTTCTAATATCAGGGCAGAGAAGAAACAACCGCCGTCGTCTCCGATTACGTCACTTCCAGAGGACGTCGTCACTGACATCTTAGCTCGTGTACCTGTCCGTGACTACCCAAGAGTCTCCCTCGTTTCAAAGCGCTTCCGCTCACTTATTTCGTCGCCTGAGATATACGCGAGACGATCTTCGCTGGGCTGCACTGAACATTGTCTCTACGTTGTCCTCCGCAGCAGGGAAGACGGTGGTGACCGTTTGTATACACTCCACCTGAAAGGCAACGGCAATAGCAGCAGCAGCAGCCGTTTGGTTCTTATCCCTCGGCTTCCCCCTATGCGTCCCGGTAGAAGCTTTGTAGCGGTGGGCTCGAGGATATATGCGGTTGGACTTGGTGGGATAATTGACTCTTTCATCATCGACTGTGTATCTCACACCATTCAACCCCTCCCTAGCATGCCTGTGCCCATGACTGATATAGTCGCTGACGTCATCGGCCTGAGGATCTACGTCATTGGAATTCTCGATACCAATCCGAAGTCAAAGGCTATGGTGGTGTTCGATACGGAAACGGGAACGTGGGAAGCTCCGATGACAATGCCAGCAGGAGTCATCTCTTCTCCAGGGATGGAGTTGTGTGACATGTATAACTTTGGTGGTGTGGTGGTGATGGGTGATAAGATGTACATGAGGGATGTTATTGAGAGTTTTGTTTACGACCCAAAAGCAAACAAATGGGAAATGGACGAGATGCTGAGTACGAATGTGTATCACTCTTGTGTTGTTGATGGTGTTTTTTACTTTTACGATCGTATTGAGAACGAACTGAGAGCGTGTGATCCTGGGCACAAGTGTTGGCAAGTGGTGAAAGGTGTGGAAGATTTGTTGTCTGAGATTAGACGTACTGTTTGTGTTTTGTTACAGTGTGAGAGTTATGGTGGGAAACTGATTTTGTTCTTTACTAAAGGAGGATTACTGTGGGTAACGAGGGAGATTTGTTGTGCGGAGATTTCGCTGGAAAGACGCCAAGGGGGTCAGATTTGGGGTAAAGCTGATCAGTGGTGTGATCATGCTTTGATTGTTGGTAATGTTTACATTACGAAGTCTCTAGATGTTGTGCTTTGATTCAACAACTCTCTCTCTTTTCTCAAGATGTGTTCCTTCTCAGGATGTAACTGCTTTTCGGAAAATGGTAAGAGTTACAAAATTGTGTCTTGAAATTTTGTGATGTTTGTGTGCAAGTGAAATTCTTTACACCCAGGAAATGTCAGAGATGAGGCCTAGTTATTGATGAATGCCAAACAAGCTAAGTTAGGAATGCCCAACAAGCTAAGTTAGTAGTGAAAGATTTAACATAATGCCATAAAATTGACTAAGAACTCATCATGCAAATGATATATATATAGTAAGAATTCTGAGGGTTCATCAGTGGTGTGATCATGGTTTGGTTATATTTGGAATTAGGTGTTTTGCCCGCACATGCGGGCATAATTTTCGTACAGTTTATTATTAGTCTATATTTTATTAATTCGAAACCAATATAATAAGTTAGGATTTATGTTTTAAAATTAATTATGAATGACAACACTCATATAACAAAATATTTTTAAAATATATTTTTACAAATGTGTTGCTTTAATTCATTTTAATTATAATTTTTTCTATCTTAATTTTTATTTCTATAATAAAAAATATATTTTCAAGATAACAATATAAGACATAAAAAGTATCTTATTTTCTCAAAATATAATTTTTAATAGAAGTTCATTGTTATTTTATAGTAAATTTTATATGAAATTATTAAAAATATGAAAAATAATCAAAATTATCTAAATCATAGAGAAATTACTAATCAGATAATTCACTTGAATTTTCTAATAGAAAATATATGTTCAAGATAACAATCTAATACATAAGATTATCTTATTTTTTTAAATCTAGTATTATTAGTATATATTCGTTTTATTATTTAATAAATTATATATGAAATTATTAAAATATGATAAATAAGCAAAATATAAAACATGGAGAAGTTGATAAATCAGCATTTCTTTCTTTATATTTAACTATTAATATTTTAACTTAATTTTTAATTTCTATGATAAAAGAATATAAATTCGTTTTTTTCAATAATAAATTGTATATGAAATTATTTAAATAAGGTAAATAAACAAATTTACCTAAAATCAATGAGAACATAACAACTAAGAAAATTTACTACTTATATAATAGTCGTTTTATTATTTAATAAATTATATATGAAATTATTAAAATATGATAAATAAGCAAAATATAAAACAACGGAGAAGTTGATAAATCAGCATTGCTTTCTTTATATTTAACTATTAATATATTAACTTAATTTTTAATTTATATGATAAAAGAATATAAATTCGTTTTTATTCAATAATAAATTGTATATGAAATTATTTAAATAAGGTAAATAAACAAATTTACCTAAAATCAATGAGAACATAACAACTAAGCAAATTTACTTCTTATATAATAGTATAGATTTGGAATTCTTTTTAAAAGAAAAATCTTATAATTTTGATAATAAATATTGCGTTTTGACATTTGAGTCAAATTATGTAAGAAGAGAGAGAGAGAGAGAAAAAAAAACAGATTATCTGCCTGCATACGTTGATAATTGGTTTTCTTGGGTCATTGGTTCCAGGGCCGGCTTAACTTTGTAAGGTGCCCTAGGGCAAAAAAAAAATTTTGACCTTTTAAAATATATGTTTATTCAATATTTAAAAATTTACTTTTTTGTACAATTTAATCAGTAATATTTTGTATATTTTTTGATGGAAAATAAAACTATATACTTATGAAATATTATTGGGCCCCTTTACAAGATTAGTTATTAAAATTTTAATTTTTTCTATATAAAAAATATGTATTTATAAAAAAAATCGGGCCCCTTAATCATTGATATATGGGGGGACACGGATTAAGACCCGGGGCGATCGCACCGTTTGTCCCCCCACTTAGCCGGCACTGATTGGTTCAATCAGACAAGTCGATGATTTAGGGAAACCAGATATTAAATCCGGTTTGGTTTTTTGTATAAATAAGAGCTGGTCTAGGAACAGTGTGAAACTCTTTGTACTCTCTCTCTCTCTCGGTGATTTTAGGGTTTCGCAATCTACACATGTCTTCTACTATTAGGGCAGAGAAGAAACAACCGCCGTCGTCTCGGATTACGTCACTTCCGGAGGACATCGTCGTTGACATATTGGCACGTGTACCGATATGTGACTACTCAAGACTATCCCTCGTTTCAAAGCCCTTCCGCTCACTCGTCTCGTCTCCTGAAATATACGCGAGACGATCTTCGTTGGGCTGCACCGAACATTCTCTCTACGTTGTCCTCTATAACAGGGACACACGTGTCAACCGTTTGTATACACTCCACCGAAAAGAGAAAGACAACAACAACGGCTTGTTCCTCATCCCTTGGCTTCCCCCTATGCCTAGCGGTGGAAGCTTTGTAGCTGTGGGCTCGAGGATATATGTGTTTGGTAGGAGTAACTCTTTCATCATAGACTTTAAGTCTCACACTATGAAACCCCTCCCGAACATGCCTGTCCCCATGTCTGATGTAGTCGCTGACGTCTTCAGCGGGAGAATCTACATCATTGGATGTCGTCACGATACCAATCGAAAGGCGATGGTGGTGTTTGATACAGAAACACAAACATGGGTGACAAAGCCAGGGATGGAGGAGTTAGGTGAGCACGTGCTCTACCTAAATTTTGGGTATAAAGGTGTGGTGGTGATGGGTGATAAGATGTACACGAGGGATTTTCGGACGACCAATGTTTACGACCCAAAGGAAAACAAATGGGAAACGGATGAGATGGTTGATTCCAATAAGTGGGAGGAGGGCGCGTGTGTTGTTGATGGTGTTTTGTACTATTACGATTATCGTGGGAACGAGTTGAGAGCGTATGATCCAGAGCGGAAGTGTTGGGGAGTAGTGAAAGGTGTGGAGGAATTGATGGCTGAGAGGAGACGTGTTGGTTGTGGTTGGACAAAGACTGTGAGTTGTGGTGGGAAGCTGATTTTGTTATTCTCTAGAAGAGAATTAGTGGGGAAAACGAGGGTGGTTTGTTGTGCGGAGATTTTGCTGGAAAGAAGACAAGGTGGTCAGATTTGGGGTAGAGTTGATCAGTTGTCTGATGATCATGGTTTGGTTGCTGGTGATTTTAGGTTTACCAAGTCTCTAGATGTTGTGCTTTGATTCTTATAACTTGTTGTCATTTGGGGTTTTTATTAGAGAGCAGTAAGTGTGGGAGGGCATTTGTTTGGTGTATTGCAATAACAATATCTCTTTTCATAAGTTTTGTTCCTTATTAGTATGTAACTGCTTCTCAGTAAATGGAAACAGTTACAAACATGTGTCTTGAATTTTGTGATGAAAGTAAATACCTAGCTCATACTCTTTGGTTTGTATATATAGTAAGAATTCTGAGGGTTTACCAAAATTGTTTTAACTTCAATTCAAGAAAAACATACTGGGTCATATTTCAAGATTTTACCAAAGCTTGCACCAGTAAGTGTTGTTAGCCATAATGGAGCAAGTGAAAATGTGTTGGAGGTAAATATGTTCTCACAACTTAGCTGCAGCTTTGTTTTTACCTTTCTTTTGATTTATCTCTCTTGACGAATCTGTTTCTTTCAGTTATATGTTTCAATAGCGTGACAGATGCTGGTTCACCCAAAAGAACATGGGGGAGTGAACCAAATAGTGAAGATGTGAATAGAACACTTAAAAGGACTGGCGAAGAAGATGAATCGGAATCAGTAACATCCCACGAAAGTGTCCATTGGTAAGAAGCTGTGGACTTTCTTGACGACATAGCCCCCATCTTTGATCAGGCTGTAGTTTGGCCCTATGGTGTTGAGGAAGACCAATCTTCTTCTGTTGACAATATGTTAGTGTTTGCTTCTTTGATTTCTCTAGCTGTCTTATCACTGAGTTCCTAGAAACTAACAGTGATTTAAGTATTTATAAATAAAACAATACACTAAATATATAGTAATAATATACCAAACACAGATATGATAAACAGATCAACAAACAAAAATTGTTGGAAGCTTTACTTTCTCTCTCTATTGAAGAGTAACAAGATCCTTAACTGAAAAGACAACAACACCATGAGAACTGCTCACAGAAGAGAATGAAGAGTTTTGATGTTAAAAATGTTTTTTTTTTCTGATCTGTACAGATTCTTCTACAATCATCACAACAATAGGGATGTACAGATTTGTCCCTCGTCGACTCTTCTTTAGAACCTCAAACCTCTCATATTGAACTGCTCCTTCATACCTCTGAGAAGTACACAAGATAATTGCATCAATAAAAAAAAATCTCAAGTTGCAGAGAAAGAGTATAATCATAAGATTTTCCAATGTAAAAGTCACCTGCAACGTGGTATGGAGCAATTAGGATCTTGGCAATGGTATGCGTGAATACTTATTACCATCCTAAAATTAGTGCAAGTGTTACAAGCTCCTCGCTGCTTTTCGCACACTTCACTATGATTGAATAACGTTTTGACATCACTGCATCTAGGGTACGAGCAAGAACCAGTGCTCGTATGTTTGCATGCATGTGCATGTAACAAAGCTTCCAGTATCTCAAAAGCCTACAAATTGAGTTGAGTAGTTAAAAAAAAATCAAAAATTATAAACCAGAGAAAAAAAAAGTTGGTATTCACCCCTATAGGTATAGGCGGTATTCCATGAATAGAAGGGACTACAGGAAAGAGATGAATCCGAGGAAGGACGTTGTTGCTGTTATTGCATGAAGTGCAAGCTCGATAATTACATGAAGAGACCAAACATGTGTAGTATATCGTTCTGGAAACATCCTTTTGGCAGCCCATGCAAGTCACTTTAAGGAGACCACCAGTGGATATCTGAGAGTGGTGAAGTTCGTTTGAAGCGTGAAGATGGTGGAGTATCATCATAGAGGAATATTTGGTGCGTCGAAGTGTGTCAAAGCTGTAGTTATGCTTCTCAGAGAAACTTAAGAACATTTGTCTGGTTTGGAACGTATTGTTGTTTCCTAGGATGACATCATTATCCTCTGTTGTAGGCTGTACGTTCATATTGACCTTTGACAGCGAGTGCTTCTCTTCCCCATCCATAGTATATGTGTGTTCCCCAGGACGTTCTTCTTCTTGATCATGACATCTGTTTGCAATAAAAGGAAGGGTTTTGTTAGCATAAACAAAATACAAAAACATAAATGCCCAGGTGAGAAATAATGTGAATCTGTAAAAAAAAAAATATTGGTATTTAGTTATTTATATATAGTTAAAACAATTGAACTAATATGTGAGACACATGTAAAATGATTTTTTTTTCTTACCATTGAAAATGCTCTATAGAGAGAGAGAGAGTACCTTTGACACAATTGAAGATTCTCGCACTTCCTGCAAAACCATCTCAATCCAGACAATATGGCCTTCGAGCAGCGTGTGCATGTATAATTCAAATCCACCACGATGAGATTCTCTCTTTTGTTTGATATCAGGTCTCCAAGCTACATAAAACAAATGGTTAAGGAATAAACACCCTGACATGTATCCATATATTCAAACTCTAATTAGTGCATATGAATAACAACCTCTTGCATCAGCCAAATGTTTTTAACATCAGCGTCCATAATTTCATTGCCATTTTCCTCGATTTCTTGACTCAGAATCTCAGCTTTATCGGACCAGAAAGATCCTTCAAAGTAAGGCAACAGTGCAGCTGTACTATTATTGCATGTCGAAACGAAGAACCGATCATACAAGTTTGTAACATTCGTCACAACCTTCTGCTTCTTGGCTTTATCCAGCATTGACTTATACCTGAAATAATGTTATTTTTTAAATCCAGTTTTCTCACCAAACATAAAAAAAGGAAGAAAAGAGACTGATCACCATTCACGGAGATTCTCATGATTGGGGGTTTGCTGAGTCTTAGGATGAGAGTACATAACGAAGTCTTCTCCTTCTGGAGGTGGACACACCCATATATAACCCGTTATGAAACCTCGAAACTTACAGTACTCAAGATATCCAATCTATCAACAAAAAAAAAAGGAAAATAAATAAATGAAACATGTCAATAACAGTTTAGGTCTGAAAATAAGGAATAGATTTTACCAATATTTCATGATAAACGAAAGTTTGAAGAGCTTCTCCTGAGAAGGTTACTCTCTCGGGTCTAAAGTATACGCTGCGTTTGTTTGGTTTGCTACATTCCGATCCAAACTCTTGGACAAACAACGCAAATATGCATACATCAACTCCATCAACTTTCTGAAACAGGAGAATCACCTGAAATAATTCGAAACAAATTAAAATTTAGTCTTTTACAAAAAAAAAAGTTACAATTAAGTATTATATATGTTAGATGAGATACAAAACTAAAACCATAGCTGGATATGGACACATCCCAATGAAACATTGGTCTTGGTCTCTAAAATTTTTTGAGGTTCTTAATATTGACAAAGACCACCAAATTATGGAAATCTTTTTTTACTAAGGCTATTAAGAAATGTTTTAAATCTCTAAAATCTCAGATTCAGTTATGACTAAACCTAACTGGTGATAAGTGGACAAAGTAAAATCTCTTCCTAACTTACACTATGGGATTTTGTCCCTGAAACTACTTATAACTTAGTAAAGAAAATGAAATCCCATGCACCTTGGATCTGTAAGGGAATTCACTAGGATAGTCTTTGTCGTGAAGAAAATCCACAAATGTTTTGTTGACGTGCGAGATTTTGTCAGCTGAGAACACGACCCTGAGAGTAAGATCATCTAGAACTGATACCTGGAAAGTAAAAGTAACAAGTATCAGTATATATACAGTTGCATGCAGACCAAATTAACCTCAGGAAACAACATGAATATTCTTACATCATCAGTGCTCTTTCCAGTAGCAGTTGCGGTTTGGTGTCTTTCTTCTTTGAGCCGCCTCTTTAGCCTTTTCTCTATAAAGTCGCTTAGGATGGTTTCAGGCAAATCTTTCGCCCCCAAGTCCGTATTTTCATGAACTGATCCCATGTTGTTGTTACTCTTACGCTCCTTTAACAAGCAATGAGGACAAATGTAGTCTGAGGTTTTGTCAATGTCTTTATCACGATTGTAAAGACCACATATCTGATGCTGCCATTTCTCGCAAGTTTCACAACAAACCCACTGCTCCAACAAAACAAACTACCTATGTAAAATGTACTTGAAAACAAAATTATATATATATAGAGAGATAGAGAGAGATGAAGTTTACCTCTTCTATGTCTTGATTGTTAGCGTCATTATTATGTTTAAGCAAATTGGCTTTTGTGATAGTGACTCCAGATAACGTAAACTTGCGTTTTTTGCGATAACATGGATTACAGATTTGATGTTGCGCACCGTTTATTGTTTCCTGGGGGGTGTAATACGAAGCTTCGTATTCGATGCGTTTGGGGCAAAGCGAGCAGTAGAGTGGTGGTGCTGGAAACAGGAGTAGACCGTCGCCACACAATTGACATGTTTCAGTATCCTTGAGCTCAACACTTCCCTCGTGGAGACTCTTTATATGCATTTCTATTTCTTCTTCTGTAAAACGTTCCACCAATGAGACATCCCTTTTTTTAGGGTTTTCCAGAGGCAATACTGTTGTGTCAACAGCATTATTAGCCTCGCCCTCGCGTGTGGTCTGTACATCACCACTTTCCATCGGCTCAACAACTTCCACTCCAGGTTCTAGTGTCTCATGTGCTTCGACTCTCTGTCGCTTTGATGCAATATGATGACTTTCTCTAAGGATCACCACATCCTCTTCATTATCATCATCTGGTACTTCGATATGATAATTAGATATTTCTGATCCAGAACGCACTTTACTAATGATATCATCTGGCTGTATGCTTGACTGCTGATTAGGCATGGTGTTAAGATTTGGACGCGTCACACCGTTGTAAAATTCAGGCACCGAAGTATAAACAATTGATTCTGCGCACTACCTGCACATGTTTTCAATCAAAGGAACATTGACATTTGAGGATGTGCTTGTACTCACAGAAGAAACACTAACAGGTAAAAAAAAAAACTGATAGAACTGAAAATCCAAAATCCATATCTGAATAACAAAAATATAATTTATATTCCAGATAAAATGTCAGCTAACACAGTTTGTTCAGCGGGTAGTTCTGATAATTATATAAACTGGACCAAAAACCAGAAAAGCAAACTAAAAACGATTTTGTAAATTCTCGTATATCGACATCCGAAAGAAGTGAAAACAAGAAAATAAACAGAAAACCAAACGAACATTAAAAGGGGTCTTAATTAACTGGTATAAGAATGATACAAATCAATCAACTAATTACAAATAATTGGTTTTAGGGTAGGAGTTTATTTAACATAATATGGTATCATAGCTACATCAACACAATCCAACCTGATTCATAAACCGATTCATAATCGAACAAATCCAAATGGTCCCATCGATGCAAGAAACGTATTTCTAATATGTATATGACTATGTGCAAGAAACGTATTTCTATGTGCTTGTTACAAACAACTATCACTAAAACTAGAGGTGGAACGAATCTGGATATTCAAAAAATTTAGGGATATGGATCTGGATCTGGATACCCGTTAGATCCGTAATTTTAGTATTCAGCTTCGGATCCATAAAAATAATTAAAAATACATAAAAATATTTTTTAAGATTCGGATCCATAAAAATAATTAAAAATAATTAGAAAATATTTTTTTAAAATGATACATTAATTAAATATTTATACAAATGAAAATATATATATGAATATTAAAGTATAATATTCTAAATATTTATAAATATTAATATATCAAATATAATTATCAATACAATTTAAAATTTAAAATATTTTAATAATACGGATCCGGATCCACGTATCTGGACTTGAAAATCAAGATATCCATATCTAATTTGAACGGATCCGAGATTTTACTATCCGGATTCGGATCCATGCACTCCGGATATCCTATTTTCGAACGGATTCCAGATAATAAATCTCAGTCCTAACTAAAACAAAACAATCCCAAATATTTTATTTTACTTGTTGGTAAAAAAAAAACAATACCAAGATTGACGCAACATTAAAACATTATCCCCATAATCTTATTTGGGACGATCATGATACCTTAATTAGTTACAGCTAGCATGTGTTGTCAAAAAAAATGACATAGATACCATACCTTAATCAGTTCTAAATTGTTTACTCCGCTTGGTTCGGGCGCAAGGGGAAAAGACAAAGAAAGAAGTTGAAAGAGTCTCTGCTCTAACTTTTTTTTTTTTGTAAGCTAATCTCTGCTCTAACTTGGTTTGTTTTGTTGATATTAGGCTCTCGTCAATTTCTTAATATATCGAAATTGTTTGTTTATTTTTGGTAAATCTATAATAATAAAGTAGACATATCTGCCTTGATAGGCTGTCCACGTTGTTTTTTTACATGGGGGGTTGTTCGCCACGTGTCGCGATATGGTTAGTCGTCTCTCTCACGTGTTTTTCTTTTAGCCGCTGTCCTACTCTCTCTTTTGGGCTATTTCGAAATTAAGTAATGAGCTTTTAATTTATTTAAAAGATGGAAGCTGACTAAACCCTACCCACCTTCCCACTCTCCTCACAACACACTTGACGCTCTTAAACCTTACTCAACCAACGACGTCGTATCAACCAAGACTTCCACTCACGCGCGAGTGGAGAGAGTAACCCTTTTACACCTCATCATGACTAAGGTTTTTTATTCTTCTCTTCATCCAGAAATTTCCTCCGATTTCGCGAAAAAAAAGAAAAAGAAAAAAAGAAGATATCTCTCTCTCTCTCTCTAATGGCGGCGACGATGAGCAGAGCCAATACGTGTACATGGCCAAGCTCGCGGAGCAAGCCGAGCGCTACGAAGAGATGGTTCAGTTCATGGAAAGCCTCGTGACCTCCGCCACGCCCTCTGCGGAGCTCACTGTGGAGGAGCGCAACCTCCTCTCCGTGGCGTACAAGAACGTGATCGGATCCCTCCGCGCCGCGTGGAGGATCGTGTCCTCGATCGAGCAAAAGGAGGAGGGCAGGAAGAACGAGGAGCACGTGACGCTCGTCAAGGATTACAGATCCAAGGTCGAGGGTGCGCTCTCCGCGATCTGCTCGGGGATCCTCGCGCTGCTCGACACGCATCAGGTGCCGTCGGCTAGCGGTAGCGAGTCGAAGGTGTTTTACTTGAAGATGAAGGGGATTATCATCGGTACATGGCGGAGTTTAAATCTGGGGAGGAGAGGAAGAAGGCTGCAGAGGATACTATGGTCGCGTACAAGGCTGCTCAGGTATGGGTTTGGTTGCTTCTTTAGGAAAGATCCTGTCTTTGAGATTACTTCAGTACCTAATCGTTGAAAGTAGTCAACTTTTTTGCAGTTTTTGTTTCTCTCTTTGATGGGTTTATGATTGTTTGTGATCTTGTTGTTGTTTTGGAAATGCAAACTAACATAGCATGTGAATGTTGTGTCTTGAAGGACGTTGCAGTTGCGGATCTAGCGCCTACGCATCCGATTAGGTTGGGTCTGGCTCTTAACTTCTCGGTGTTTTACTATGAGATTCTCAACTCTTCTGAGAAAGCTTGCAGCATGGCCAAACAGGTACTCTCTCTCTCTAATAGTAATCATTGTAGTTTGGTTGGGGCTTGCTTGGTTATGTTTTGAGTGACTTAGTGGACTACTTTGTCTGAGTGACCCTGTCTATCATTTATTGTGTTGGATTGATGTTAATGAGTTTTTGAAAATTTACTGGAATTAGAGAAGTTGTTGAATGAGAAAGTAGGTCTTTCTTCTTTCTGTACGGACCCACTTCTGTTTTGTGCTAGAGATTTTAAAAGTCATATTCTTTATTACCTTTTTGACATATAAAGTTTACATCAACCAAATTATTCCATTTGTCAGCGGAATCTCTTAGGATGGGATTAACTGAGTACGGCAAAAGATTTTGATTAATTTCTCTTTTGGTGCATGTTGAATAGGAAACGTCTCATTGCATCATATATACAAGTTTTAGTAAGAGTTAAGAGATGTCTGAACCTTGCATTTATAACCTGTAGGCTTTCGAGGAAGCCATTGCTGAGCTGGACACGTTGGGGGAGGAGTCATACAAAGACAGTACTCTCATCATGCAGTTGCTAAGGGACAATCTAACCCTCTGGACCTCCGACATGCAGGTTAGCTCTCTTTTATTCAATCAATCACCTTATCAGAATTACTTTAAGTGTTGTGATGATGCGTTGATCAATGTTCATAGATATTCTTATGACTTATAAGACTGTTTGGAAAAGTCTAAACTCAATGATTGACTACTTTTATTCAGGAGCAGATGGATGAGGCCTGAAGATCTTGTGGAAGAACAGACGGTTATGTAATGTCCTCGCAAACCATGACCAAAATTCTAGCTACTCTTCTCATGTAAGTCTCTCTTTAGCTACTCTTCTCATGTATTAGAACTGATAGCTAATGTTTGAAACAGAATCATGTTAGTACAAGAACTCTGTTTTGTTTAGACAATTGTTTTATTTATAAAGATGTCTGACGGTCGATTTGTAAAATCAAACGCTTTATCTTGATCTAATTTGTTTACTAAAATTTAATGGTGGTGCCCTTGATCTTGCAGTCCTGGTTAACGATCAATGAGTCATGATAGATACAAAAAAATCTATAAAAGCGTGCCCTCTATTCTATAGTTTTAAAGCTCACTTTTTTATTTATTTGCAGATGAAATTGGTACTCACATTCAAGATCTCAGCTTGCACAAGCCTCAAAGACACAAAAATCAAACTCATCTCTGGTATTAAAAAAACACTTACATTCTAATGTTTACATGCAGACATGTTTGTTCTGGTGGTATTTGGCATTGTGATTATCGTACTTGCAGCTTGATGTTGGAAAGCAATAATTTTCTGAAAGTTTTCATTGATCATAAAAGCATCAACGAGTGGAGAACTACTTGGTATATAACGTAATTTCCAGACAAAGCTTAGAAGTTGGGTTTTGTATCGGTTTTGTTGGGGTTTGAGAGTCTACTGGTTAATGTAATAGAGTGCGTAGGTGTGGATTTTTTATGTTGGGAAAACTTAATAGTTGTTGGAGATAAGTGTCTTGCTTATCCTAAATTGCGGAAGCATAATGCAAGAGATAGTTTTTGCACCAGTTCAAAAGTGCCAAAAATGTGATTATAAAAAAGTGTGTTACTATAGTCAAAAAGAAGTCCCAAAGCTCTAGATGCCACAATGATTGAAAAGGCAGATAAACCCGCAGCCACAAAAAATATAACGACAGAAATATATTCTGTATGATTCCTGATTCTGGTTACGTAAGCCCATCTTAACCCGGTTTTGTTGCTTTATAATGGGCCGATCCAGTCCATTAAACTAAGCGAAAATTTAATCTAAAATCAAATCAAAACAATTCACATGCGTTGGGCATAATTTATTGGGTCAAAAGAAATAACTTAATTTTTAAGATTTTCTTAAAAAACAGTTCTTTTTACTCCCAAAAGAAAAAGCGAAAGAACCCACAAAACCAATAAAAAATTAAATAGAAAAGAAGAGAAATGTCTGGCTTAGTTTTTAGTTAGGTTATGTCTCGATTTCGGTTAAGATTACCATTGATTTCGGTTATGATTGGGTTCATGATTGGAGTGGTTAGTAAGGAAAATAAAACAAATAAAAAAACATTGTAAGATTAAGTTAGAGTTCTCTGCTCTCATTTGGGCTTTACGATCATGTCTATAGGAGTTTCTCAATAGAATTTGAAAGCGATAATCTCACCATCAACAAAATCTCAAACTGCAACATTATCAACGTATCGTGGAGGCTTAGTCGATTAAGTTTAGTGCCTTTAAATTTACTCATGCAATGAGGTCTGCAAATGTTTGTTTATATATTTTAGCTAGGAAATCTATCCAGTTCCCTATTTTCTGGTATCTGTATAATAGCTAAATGTTCTTTTTACAAGCTGCTGTAATGCCTGACACTTTACCATAATGAAAAAAAATAAGTTGAAAAAAAAATATATCAAGTATGTTTTCTTTTGTGACAGTTAAAACTACTTCACTATAATCCATTGACATAATTCAGACTGGATTTATGATAAGAGTTTAGCCAAATAAATAACTGTATAGAGCTAATACCTTTAAAAGTTGAATATGGTTACGTTAACACTGCACAAAACGTTTGTAAGTATTCCCCACACTACTTAGCCCATATGAGTGCCGTAGACATAACTAATGATCTTCAAGTTATTCTTACCATCACATACTACAATTAAAACACAATTTTAAGATTTATCTCAACTTTATCATTACCGATTTTGGGGAAACTAATAGGACCCCAACTACAGAAAAAGACACGGTACATGCAGGGCAGGGCATGCTTCGGAAATTACAACAATATGGAACTTATCTATGCTCTTTTACCTGCGACCATAATTTTCATTTCTGCTGCATTGATCAATGACTTAGTATAAACATAAGTTGTTTCATACCTAGGAAAAGTTATCTATGCTTTTGCTTTATTACAATTTATAAAGGGTTTCTTATATTCCAATTTTCAGTTTCATTTACATACTGTTTTTTTCCTATTAATTATAAAAAAAATATATTCATATTTTCTCTCATTTCCTATATCTTTCACATAGACATAATATGCGAGGATTGTAACTAATTATTAAAGAGGATGAAACAATTTAATATATTCCAAACAAGATAATATAAAAAACAAAAACGTTTACATTTTTCTTCTCGAACAAGAACTTTATTTTATGTATAAAGTTCAACTTAATTTAAATTTTCTACGACAATCAGTTTTTAACTCTACTTTTACAGAATCGATCAATGACAACCACCTATGCTATTCTATTTTTAATAAAAAAATAACATTATCTTCAACACATTTTCAACATCAAATTTTTGAATATAATAGTTTTACTAAGGCCATAAAATAAATTATAAATTCATTTTCGAATAACACATACGAAACCGGCGCGTAGCGCCGGCAAACCACTAGTTGTTAAATAATATTGACATTGTTGCTTATATACAAAGTAATTACTATTGCCTATTAAAGTATGGCAACTGATTTGTAATAATATTCCTTGAGGATTTTTTTCTGTAATGAATGTATTTAATTCTTTAAAATTCACTAGTTTTACCCAATTAAGGTCCGATATTTTCTTATCACTTAATTTGGGTTTAGTATTTACTCTGGTCAAGAAAATTTTATCCATTATATTTACTTACCTTATTTCTGGTTAGCAATTAAATTCATTATTCAATAAAATCTATCTTCAGAACATTTATTTTTGGGTTCATCCCCTAAGTTGAACCTCTAGGTTCACCAACCAATAGGGTGGTGTTATTTAATATTTGATATCTTTTAAAAAAAGAAACAAAATCTTGTAAAGTTATATTATGTTTTTAAAATAAAAATAGAAAAAAATAAATAAAATATTAATATATACAAAAACGAAAAAAAATCTTTTAAAAAATATTTTAACACTATATTATGTTTTAAAATAAAAGATAAAAATAAAATAAAAACAGTAATAATTGCAAAAAACTATTTAAAACAAAAAAATATTTTAATATATCTTCAAAATAAAAACATGTGTTTAAAATAAAAAGATAAAAATAAATAAAAAATAATATAATTGGTTAGTATTAATTTTAAGATTTTCCCAAAGGGTTTATGATTTACCCAAGGGTTTAGGGTTTAGGATTAGGGTTTAGGGTTTAGGATTTAGGATTTAGGATTAGAGTTTAGGGTTTAGTGTTTTAGTGTTAAAATATTTTTTTCTAAAGTTTTTTTTCGTTTTTTAAATATTATTATTTTTTATTTATTTTTTGTATTTTTATTTGAAAAACATAATATAACTTGACAAGATTTTGTTTCCTTTTTTAAAAGATATCAAATATTAAATAACACCATCCTATTGGTTGGTGAACCTAGAGGTTCACCTTAGGGGGTGAACCTAATAATAACTCTCTTCAGAATTGCATCAAATATCCCAAAAAATCAAAATTTAACAAACTTACCAAAATTTCATTCTCTCTCCTCTTAATCATTGACCCAAAAATCTTAAATCAATTTTTTTTATCGTACTATTAATCGAAAATACGTTTAAAGGAAAATGTTATAATTTGATTAGTAGAAATGTGAAATGACTAAGATAATATGTTTTAGGAATCAAATTAAATGTGACTCGTGACTCGGAAAACCCGATTTAATTATTAAATTTAACTCAAGAGAAAGACTAACTAGTATATTAGTCAAATATTATAGAGTTATCATCATTAAACACTTATTATATACAAAATCAATCACTAAAATTAGAATATTATTGACCAACAATTTTGTGATAATATAACTATATACAGATTTATTCTATTAAAACGTATCTATATATATATAAATATCAAACTTGTATGAACTATATAGTTATATGTCAAAAAGATATAATTATATACAATGCTTATATTTTAAATTGTATATGACAAATATATCAAATTTACATGAACTTTATAGTTTTATGTCAAATTATTCATTCGATAAATCTATATTATAAGGTTTACTATTACTATTTGATAAATATTTATCATATAATTAATTATATTTTAAATTTTATTTACAACTTATATATATTATATTCATAAGTTATAGTTTTATAATTTTCTCAATGTGTTACAAATTTAAAAGGTGATATTTGTAGAACTGTTTATATGATTATTTTGCTAATTCAGTAACATGTATTTAATATTTAAATATTTTGTAATATTTGAATATATACAATGAGAATAATATTAGGTATTTAATATTTAAAACTATATAGTTACATTGGTCAATAAAATTATGGTGCAAGATACTTTATAGATATTCTTTTATTATTATTCAAATATACATTTACTAACACAATATTTCGAAATAATGTTTATTACATTTTTATAATTTATTAATATTAGGTATTAATAAGTCAAAAATTAAAAATTAGTCAATCAAAAATTAGTCAATCAAATGGATAATATTAGGTATTTAATATTTAAATATATATAGTAAGATTGGTCAATAAAATTATGGTGCAAGATACTTTATAGATATTCTTTTATTATTATTCAAATTTACATTTACTAACACAATATTTCAAATAATGTTTTATTACATTTTTATAATTTATTAGAGATTATTTTCTTTCATAACTTATCAAGAATGACAGATTGTATTGTTTAGATACGTTCACTAATCATATTATTAATTGCAAACATATATAAGTGAACATGATATAATTTGAATGATCTAAAACTGTGATATAATTAAAATAACATGTATTCATGATTCAAACGTGACTCATTTTCACTTAGTAATGGACTTTAAAATTTTTTCACTAACCAAATAAGAGATTAACTAAACAAAACCATTTTTAATTAGTATCATTAAATATGATTATCATTTGGTTTTCCTACTCGAAAACTCAATGTATTTTTATGATTTTAACTACTATTTGAAATCATATTATAAAGTATGATATATAATCTAAACATATACAATTCATTATCTATAGTTTAGGATTATGTTCCATATAGGTTTCGATATCCGATTTCAATCTGTCATATCTAATCCAATTGGTTTTCCAACTTTAAAATATTTTCAAAGAAATGAATTCAAATTATTTAAAACTAAATCGAAGAGAATTTTAAATACTGAATAAAAATTTGTTGGGAACTAAAAAAAAAAAAAATATATATATATATATATAAAGTAAATATATAATTGGCATTAACTTTTTTAATGAAAATGCGATGAATTTAATTATTTATATCTTTTATATTATAAATTCATATGTTATCTATGATTAATATTGGTGTGTCTTATTCAATGTGATTAATGTTCACTTATAAATTACGAGATTGTGTTTTTCTTTTATTGTGCTTTATTTAGTTTTTTTTTGTAAAGTAAACGGTGAAATGTCTGTGCTTTTCTATATAAAGTTTAAAATTGTTATTGAGATTTTTAAATATATATATATATATATATTATTTAGAAAAAATAATAATAACGAAACCAAGTTTAAAAAAGGTTAAAAATGATAAGATATTTAATTAAAGTTATTAGTTTACCTTATTTTATTATAAATTTATAATTAAAACGGACCAAAACTTAACTACTATGTTCAAACTTTGTTTTCATCATAGTATATATGAATTAGGCTTTAATTATATTTAATGGATCAAGCCCATAAAATACTAAATGTAAGCTTTGTTTAAAAAAAGAAGTAAATTACAGTGTTTAATTTCAATGACATAAAATTGTAATTTTTGAGAAAAATAAAGGGTATTTTCTATTTGTATTCCCATTTTAATAGTTTAGACTTTTGGTTATTTTCTTCTTATATTATTTTAGTTAGAAAAAACAATTTTTTTTTGAAGATCTATATCTATACTATTAAAAAGGAAAGAATCTTTATAAAGCTATTTAAAAATGTTGTTAGACTATTTCGTTACTATTTACTCTATTATATATACGATCAAATACATCATAACATAACTTTATAGAACCCGAGAATCTAGAATACTATAGCATAACAAACTAATTTACGGACTTCATTTATTTAAAAATACTATTTGTTTGTTTTGTTACGTATCCTTGAATTCAAATTTATAAGTTCCACCTGTTATTATCTAATGGATCTCTTGCACTAACAAAAATATATTAAATTAATTTTTACGTACATATACACAATGAATGGGAAAATACAGTAATTGATGGCCTTACATTATAATCTCATAACTTTGAATTAATGTCTTTTATATTTAGCTTAAACAGTTTTGCATATAAAGTTCTATGATATTAAACAACACAAAATATTTATATCAAAAATATTTTGTTAATCTTCCTATAAACAACTACTCTCTATGTTTCAAAATAATATATATTCTAGAGTATTCACACTTATAAATAAAACACGTAAAATTTTGATAATAAATGTATTATTTTTTGTGTTTAGCTATTTCCTATTATTTTTAATCAATCAAAATTCAGTAAAGATAATTAATATTTTTGAAGTTTGCAATTTGGCATTATTATTTACATTGAAAATGTAAAATATAGATCTTTTAAAAACAAATTTTTTTCTAAAACATGGATCATTCTAAAACGGAGGGAGTGTGTGTTTATGCAAATTATGTCTAATTTTTCCACCTAATAATATTTTAACCTAACATCTACACTTTTAAATATTACATAGTTGACTTACCACTTGACTTTAGTCAGTTTAAAGTTTATTTCTTGTATTATTTTGTAAAAATTATATGACTAATTTCGTTAATTCAAATCACCTACCGAATATTCTTCAATATAGATGGTGTACATTTTATGTTCAGTGAAAACTACCAGAAACTCTCAGGAAATATATTTAACTGAAATGTCGGAAAATATAAAATTATTTTGAAGTAATTTTGTGTTAATAAGTTCATGATTTCACCAACTTGAATCTTCATATACAGTAGAACCTCTATCAATTCATATTTTTAAAAATTAATAACCTCTATAAATTAATAAATTTTATCAGTCCCAACTTTGGCCGATTCAAAATTTGACACAAATCGATAAAATTATAAGATAAATTTTTTTCAGAAAACTCTATGTAAATATATGGTCCCAGTAAAATTATAAATTAATAATTATATGTATACATATTTTATATAAGTAGAACATATCATTATATTGTTTGTTTTATATTCATAATGGATTTCTCTTTATATATTCTAACACTTATTATATTTTTGATGAGATTTGGTAATATTATATCTAAAACCACATTTAGATTCTATGCAATATATATTATATATACAAAATAATATAATAAATTGATATAAATGTGAATACTTTAAAAATAATAATTAATAATTATACACTAAAATTAAATATTTTTCTTAATTTAGAATATATTTCTTTAAAAATAAAAAAAAATTAAATAAAGAAATTTTTGTAAATTAATATTTTTATAAATTAATAAGATTTCAAAATCCCAACATTATTAATTTATAAATGTTTTACTGTATTCCATTCCTATATTTTTAAATTGGTAGTATTATAATATTTATTGTTAATAATACAAATTTTAAATGTGATTTCATCGAGATAACAGATTTGTGGTAATCACATAATCCATATACAAGTAACTACCAAAGGGAATGTAACTTGGTATAGATCTCGAGTTTTAGGTTTTTGGAGTTCGAGATTTAAACTTTATTCGAATATTTATATTTTTTCTCAGTTCAGGTTTGCGTATCCGTTCAAATCATTTATAAATTTAAAACTAAAAAAGTTTTAAAATCCTCCAGAAAACATTCAGCATGTATTTTGTAATAATGCATGATCAGATACTTAAAATTAAAAGCAGATTATATACTTGGTGTCGGGTTTACGGGTTCAGTCTTGATATAGACCGGATATGAAAACACCACTTGAAATTCAAAAAATATAGAACAACTTTTAAACTATTTATTTCTAATAATAAGTTATAAATTCATTCAAAATTATCAAAATGGTAACCAAAAAGATATTTGCACTTTTAAAAATGGGTCAAAAATATTAGTAACTTCTAAATCGAATAGGGATACAAAATAGCGTAGGTTGATGGTTAGAACTATGATACAAATGTATGACAAGAGAAACTTATCTCCAATATAAATTGAACATTTATATCGTTACCACATTTCAATAGTGAAAACACATTATTCTTCTATACATAATTATATACTATAAATTCACACATATCATCTTTTAATCTTTTTCATACAAATCTCATACTTTTTTCTAAAAAATGATAAAAACATAAAAACTCAGTTGTTAGGATACGAAACAAAAGATAGTGGTAGTTGTAAATAAATTTTAGACCAATATAAAAAAAAATAAACTGCACTTAAGTGGATCAAATCTAGTTTACTTTATAAATATGTATCTACATAAGGAATAAGGAGAGAATTTAGATAGAGAGAGAGATAAAAAAGCAGTTACCGGCGATGGAGAAGGCGATAGGGAGAGCGGTTGTTTCAAACTCCTTTTTCTCTGATTTTTCCATCCAAAAGTGTGATTTCATCATCCAGATACGTGTTTGATTCCATAATGGCATCTCTATTTTCCTTTTTTAACCAATTTCTTTGTGATTTTCTCTTCTTTCTACTCGATAAGAGTTTCAATATTATTCACAACATTTTGGGTGTTGGTCACTCTATCACCCAATTGGTTGTTGTTATCTCCGGCATGGAATTAGTGGCCATGACCGATGACAAAACGATTCATATGTTTGTGTTGAATTCAAATTTATATTATTTGTTGTGGAAACAACGTCCACCAAAAAAACCACCGTGGATTCGACATGTGGAAGAAGAGTTCAAGATCAAAACGAAGAGTTTGCTTTGGATCAACAAAAAATGTTTCAAAAATTATATTTTGATACAGTATATTTGGTATCAAAATATATTGCTGAAATCATGGAATTCATCAAGGAAAAAGCAACAATATGAAATGGAAGAAGATATCTCTTTGTTGTATGGCGATATTCGTACAATCGTTGAAGATTGGTCTTTACAGTTTTTATTTCTTATGGTTGAATCAATGTGGATTTTAAACCAAAGAATATCTATAGATCTAAACTGGAATAAGACCAATGTAATACAACAAAGAGAATTGCAAAAGAAATCTTGGGATTTCATCGATTGTATGATTGCTAAAGCTAATCGCATCGAAAAACCTTATTATTGGAGAAGATGGTTTAGAAAGAAGCCTGATTCTCTTATATTG